TCTTATTTTATAGCATTGTATATATTTGAGAGAAAATAATATTTTCATACTTTTCTACAAACAACTAAAAAATTTCTTAGTGTATGTATGTCGTAGCAAGTGAGCGTGTGCAAATTCTTTCTGCTTTTCTTTTTATCATTGTTGTGCGTTAGATGTGAATTATTGATTAATACATGCGGAAGATAAAAACATCTCTCTCATTTGAGTGTACTATATTTATATATTTTTCATTCTTCTCTCCTCAGGAATAAAACGTCTTCTATTTCTTTTCCTGTATGTATGTAGTTAAAAGCTCAGTGGCTTCGTTTTCAATTTTTTGTTGCAGACAGAAGTCTACATCTAAGCTTCATTAAATATAAAAGAGTAAATGCACGTATTTAAACTTTACAAATATTTTCTAGAAACATAATAATCCAACCGAAAATCCAACATATAAATTTTGAACAACGCGAATTTTATTATTCATTTTATTCTCATTCATAAAAATTAACGCTTGATTGAATATAGATCATGTAGAGAGTTTGTAGAACGTTCTTTGGCTTTAACAGGAATCAGCATTGAACAGCAAAAATTTGCATTATAAATTTTGTACCATCATTGAGAAATTTTTCTCGTACTTCACGAGAACTTCTGAAATGCAAGATCTTTGCAATAACAGAAAGAAGATTCTCGGTAAATACACTGACGCTTAAATAAACTTAGTACGAAAACATCATAAAATTACAATGGAATTAAAAGTATGCGGTGATTGCTTAAATTGAATTTTAATAGTTTTTAAACTATTATGCTCAATGCTGTAAAAATTATTAATCTCATACTTTTAACTAAAAAGTTGGGATTTTTATTGTGAGATATTTCTTTAAAAATATCCATCTCATAATGTAACGCGTAGTTTATCGTCCACAATTAAAATCCCTTGCGGATAAAATTCCAGCGTATTCCGGTAGGACGGAAATTTTCTTCGAGTCGCGAACAAATTCTATGCTTATGAAATCCTCGAAGGTTCGCTCACTTCATGGAACTTTACAAATCCCATCTCACAGTTCTCGCTAGCATCTGCGTAGAATTTACGCGCGGTTTCGCCATAACGTGGCTATCGATTCGTCCCGTCTACGGGAATAACCTGCTTTAATGGCATACTGAATCGGTTTAACGTCTCGATAGATGCCGAAAAGGATTTCACCCTCACGAGGAAGACCGTCGACGCTTTCGTCTAATGCTTTCCAAAATTTGCATCCTAATCTTTGTAAACCCCGCAGGGATTACCGCCGCCGTCTTCTTTCATCGTCTCAAGGATTTGCTTAACCTCGGCTTTCTTTGAGAGGCGTTCTACCGCGATCAATATAATATTTTACAGAATCTCCCTTAAAGTGCATGTCTTGTAACACAAAAAATATATTAAGAATATACAGAATAAATTACATTTACATTGAGATACCTAGATTTAGTTTATAAAGAATTCGTAAGTTTATAGCGCTTTATTATAATGTTTATTATAATAAATCATATATCTCTTAATAGTACTAGAAGTACCAAAATTTTTTATTCTTTAAAAAGATTAAGTGAATATTACTATAAAAATAAAGAAAGTGATGAAAAACTAAATATTTCATTAATATAAAGGATAATTATTGAAAAATAAAAAAAATTTTTTAATTTCATTTTTTGCACAATTTATTAATTACATTAGGTACAAGAAATATAATATTAATATAAAAAATAAAAACGTTGTAATCATTCGGTAGATCTAGTTAATAACACGGAAAAGATTAATAACTGACATACAGTAATTGCACACATTATTAATAATAGATATTCAATAAATCAAAAGATCATCATAAATCGTACATTTTTCCAAATGATAAGATAAACGATGTCTAATGAGTTATAAAATTATATAATTATATAAAATATATATAAAATTATATAATTTTGTATTCGAAAGTCAATTAATCAGAAAATTATCATAAATGTCAGTGATATTATTGGCACTTAGAAACGTCACAAGTTTCGGAACGTATCGTGAAAGGATAGTTGCTAGATTGGCCGCTAATCAAATACATAGACGAGGGTAGAAGATTTATTGTAAGTAAATACAATTAGGAGTTACGAGTGCCTTCGAGTAACCTTTGGCTCCAGCTGACGCTAACCCAACTACAGCGAAACCTGACCTAACTAAATAATCGAATTAGAGGCGCCTTCTACCGCGATAGCATTCTCCCTTCCCCTCTGTGCTACCAAGTCCATTTCTCGTCTTCTCCTCATCCGCTTCTAACTTACATTCGACACGATCCCCTGACCGTATTCGCAGAATTGGTCAGGGGACATTAAATTGACTGTGGCTTAGCGATGGACCGATTTCTCAGGTATTGCAACGGTTGTTCGTCGACACGATCTTCGCAGGCGAAGTTTGAATAGGAAATTAGAGGATGTCGATAAACGTAAGAGATCTTTAAGAGCACCTGCGAGATACCGTAAATTGCTAACATAAATTTATTTATCGCTAAACATGTCAAGAAATACATTAAAAAATATGTTGAGTTTTATCACTTATTTTATCACACTTTAGGATAATTAAAATGTTAAAATATTGAAACGAAATTCTAATTTATTATATGTGAGATCATATATTTAAAAAAATGGTGAAAACAAATTGATTTATCCTTGAAAAATTAATTGTCAAGTTATTTACTCGGAACTTATTATTGAAATTATTATATATGCGAAATTTGCAAATATGTACTTTAACTACTACATCTTCTCTTTAAAATATAGAGAAATGTGAATTTACTGTTATACTACTCAGGATATTTTCAAGATATTCTTGATTTTTGAATATTACGTATCGCATGCAATTATTTCTACTATTAGATTTGTCGCAATATATGATTGTATATTATTATTTCTATATTATTTACAAAGTAATATTTTTTCAATGTAAAATTATTTTTTATCAGAAAAAATATAAAAGAAATTATTGTTTTATTTAAAATTTGTCTTATGCTTTAATATTTGATAATTGAGCTGTATATAATTTCGTATATATATATATATATATATTGATTAAATTTTTAAAACTTTTAACTTGGATTATTCGTTTCTATGAAGAAATAAAAGAATATCGTTTTTCCATAATCCTCCTCGACGAGAATAAGCATTGCTTTGTCTGCTGACAAATTCGTATGCACAATGTTTCTCACAAAGTGCGAAGTTTCTTCGCGACGAAGTTGGGATATCGATACTCAGCGATTCGACGAAACACTACACTCTGTCTGCTTTCTAAACAGCTTTCGAGTACGACAAACGATCCCTTCAATTCCCGATCGACATCTGATCAATCTCGACGAAACATCGCGCTTTCTTTGAGAACGCGACTCCTCGCGTTGAAAATATATACAACTTCTCTCTTCGTTCCAAAAAGTTTCCGAGCTTACAACCGCTCACAATAACGAAACTTTCGTTCGTCCAAGTTTCTTGTGAGGAATTCGCACTTTGTGCAATGACATATTGACACATTTCAAATATATTGTTCTAAGTTTATAGCATCTCTTATCTACGTTCCTCCTCATTTCAAAGATTAATTGGATGACAATAGAATTTTTTTGTATAATCAAGATTAAATAATCTTCCATCTGCAATTATACATATTTTTACTTCTTCTCTCTATAATCTGGGTTTTTTATCCAGTCCAAATTATTTTATTATACTGAGAAAAAATATCTTAAATTTCAAATAAATATTTGAATAGTATCAACTAAATAATTTATTAAATATAAATACGTATTCATTTTGTACAGAATTAATTTGATTTAACAATCACTTCTTTTTATTATTCTTATTATTATTCTTATTATTACGTAAATATTCATTTATTGAAAGTAAATGTTTAGTTGTGGCAATGTGCAAATAAATATTTATTTAAATTTAGACTACTTTTTTCTCAGTGTATTCTAGGCTTTTAAAAAATGTGAAAAAATTCAGGATTATACTTTTCAACATTCCTATTACATTACTAAATAATAGTTTTTTCGATTATTTTAGTAGGGGAAATTGAACTTTGCCTCTCCTTTATTTCAGAGAAATTTGAAAGTGTCGCATGTGCCGAAAAAACTCAGATTGCAAAAGGATTAAGCAGAAAATTTGCGGAATTTTCATTGTAGAAAGAAAATAAAAGATAGTGATTAATAAATAAACTGATTATTTATCAATTATATATTATTTATCTTATATTTTATTTTATTATTTGGGGCTATTATGATATATTAAGAAATCTGCACTGGAAAAAGAATTTGGTTGCATTAATTGGAATTCCGACTGAAATGGATAAATCAGAATTTTTTGTTAATTCTATTATAATTACAGTTGAAATAATCAGAATTTTGATTGATATAAGAATCTTCTGTCTATTTTCAGCAATTTTTCTCAAAAATTTTTCTCAATGTATCATTTACAGATTGCGGATAATGCAAACAGATAAGCGATCGTTGATTTATAATGGCTGGCAAATGGCTACATCACCGCACATTCATCGCGAATTATTCGTTTTATATCCGTCGAATTTCTTGAAGCCCGCTTGAAAGGCCCTTTTTATTGGCGGGCTATCGGTGAAACCGCGCCACGTCCGATAAGGGCAGCCCGTCAATAAAAGCGCATCGGTGATTTACGAGCCGTATGCGGAATGATGACAAAAACAACACCGCAATAAATTGCGCGAGTACATCGCGGCCCCTGCAGGTTATTTGCTGTATATCACTTTGAAAGAATCCGTAAATTTGCCTGCCGCGCGCCAAGATCCTGTCGTAAATACTGTGATCGTAGCATACATAGGTCGACGCATAGCGAGGCGGACGGCAGGCTCACGCGACGTAGCGTAGGTAGACTCGTAGTAATTTATCACGCTAACGTTTTCTTTTATTGTCGCAAACGCAACGCATAAAAGCCGGCGCCGGTTACGTGCGCATACGAAGTGGACGCTAACATGTGAAATGCGTGTGTTTCAGGATAAACGAGAACACAACACGGTCCCAGTTCCTGGCCTACTTCAGCTTCTCGTCCAAAGCAAGCACGTCCGTCGGTTGGCCGGTGAGGGGCGGACATCCGGTTAACAATACGGGTAAGATGTTTAGCTCGCTTTTGTGATGAAAAATGAAATTATGTTACGTTCTAACGCTTAGCTTCCGGACGTACATTTTCCATTTGAATTTCACAGAGCGCATTACTCAACGCTGACAACTTTAGCAACTAAATTCTGGCGGTGCTAGAAAACTGATTTTCTGTAGTATTATTTGCAATTATTCGAAATATAATGAAATGGCTGTTTAAAATTGCTAAATTTAACCATTCTTTGCCACATTAGAGAACAATGTATTTAAGTATACTTGATATATTTAACCTAATTTGATTGCTTATATCTCTCATAAAAATAAATTATGAAATTATGAAAAACACATTATGAAAAAAAAATTGTTTTGAATCGAACCATCAAACATTAAGAAACATGATCAAATGTATGTATCTTTATTAATAAAATAAGTTATAAGCAATAGAAAAACGTTGAAAAAAGAAAGTCGATATGCTATATCCCATGGAAAGAATAATTTTGCTGAAATATCTAAAAATTTAGCTAAATACAGAGTTGAATAATTTTGTTAGTTTACCAAAATATTTGTGTAGAAAACTCAAGCATGATGTGCAAACAATTTTAATATTCCAACAATCAGCATCCTACATAATTATTGAGCATCCTACATAATTATTTTGGTAAGCGAACAAAAATCCTTTTTTAATTAAAAAGAGTCAACTTTAAGATTCAACACAGGAAATTATTGCGAATTGATTTATTACATAATAATAATTATACGTTTTAACCCATAATTAAGATCCTCTTCAATAATTACAATAAAACAATGATTAAGATTTCTACATTTAATTGATAAAAACGAGATATTTGAAAATTGATTTAGTTAATGATGCTATACATGCAAGATTTTTTTCAAATATCTACATCTAGCTAAATTTTTAAACACTTCAGCAAAACCATTTTTCTTCTGCGCACAAAGGTTAATAGCTGGAGAAAAAAAAATTAACATTTTGAGAATTTTATTTTACATCAATGTTTTGATGTCGATGAAATTATTTTAGATCTCATGTTATCGCGAAACCGATAACGTGCTTAAAGTCACGAGGCAATCACGAAAGCGGTGATCTGTTGAACAAGTTGAGATTATGGTGCTACGTAAACTTGGTCGCCTGGTTGCTCTTGTTGCACGTCCTGTTTCGGACCGCTCCTATCATAGACTATTGCTCAAACTACACGCCAACAACCTAGTTCACTATCGGCTCCCCCATGACGGTAACTTCATCTTCCTGTAAATTACACCCCTGTGGTGTGGTTTATCACGCGGAATGTTCAACTGCACGGGCAATCTACGTAGATAGCGTTCTTCTTAACACCCTCATGACAAATTTACGCGAACTGACAAAAGTAGAGTTTTCTGATACCATTACGAGCACGCAACTACCCACACGCGTTGCCTTTTTCCACATGGGAACGAAAAGCGAAGCGTTTTTTGAGATTCTCAGAGTAAATAAAACTTTTCCCGCGATATTTTTTCGAATCTAACAGAAGCGGGTACATATCCCCTCGTGAATTAGAGGAGCAATTTTTATTTGAATCTTTCCGAAAGCCGCGTGGAAACAAACTGTTTAACTAAAGCGTAAACCTTGCAGCGTGTTTCGCAAATTATCGATGCGCATTTTGCATGTAAAATTGAGTTACACATTAACCTTGGTTCCCTATTCGATTAAAACATACGTTGGTGAACGTTCGTCAAGCCTCCAGCGTGTGTCTTCTCTAAAATTCACAACGAAAAATCAGAAGCGTGACGAAAAAGGTGAAAAATGAAGAAAGAAGGATAACTAGTTTGTAACGTCAGTTTTGTACACGTTGTTACGTATTCTTTTTCCGCGATGCGAAAACTGGATGAAACGTTGAAACGGCGTAGCTTTCGGGCGTTCTCATTTACGACAATTTAGGATCGGCAGAGATGGAAATCGTGAATAGTGAATGAACGCAGGAAAAGGAGTGGCCAGAACGTGCGAATTTACTTGCATGAGCAATGCGAAGAGGTAATTTCTCCCTCTAGTTAGTGCGAAAATTATACGAGTTTAAGTGCGAACCGGTCCGCGCTTTAAGCGAAGGAGGAAACGACGAACCGCATTTGGCTCTCCCAAGCCATTTAGCCATCGAAAGTGTTAGTAATCGAAAGCGTTAACGGGCTGAATCTTGAATATCGATCTTTCTTGGGCACAATTGTGCAATCTTTAAAGGCGATGGGTTTTTAATCTTTATTGTAATCGATGCTTCTCTGTACAATTCTAGCCTGAATTGTCTTTGAGAATACTCGTGAATTTCATTTAAAATTCTTTTAACTCTCAACTACATAAGTGGGTCATTTGGACCCAGGTGAAAATTTTAATCTGTTGCTATTTTTTGTACGGTTAATATTGCAGAATTGAAGTGAGGGAAAAAACTTGGAACCTCTTTCTCTGTCGATCACTGCAATTGCAGTGCAATTGTTTCGTTGTTGTTTTGATGCTAAATGTGATACAATAAAAGTTTGGCTTGAACTCAAGCCAAGTCAAATGTAAATTCGATAGATTTTTATATAAAAATGGAAATTTATTTTTAGTAAATGCCTTTATGAAGCCTATTTTACAATGTGCTCTTTGTTTCCTGTTTCTTGCTTTTTGCCTCTTGGTTTTTTTGCCTCTCTTTGCAAGCATTTCATCGACAATGTATCAACAATTGTATTTCTTGCTTTTTGTTTCCTATTTCTTGTTTTCTATTATTTTTTACTTCTTATCTTTTTGTTTCTTATCCAGTTTTTTTTATGTCGAAATAAAAGTTAACGAACTTCGAAAGAAACAAAAAATACATTCTAGAAAGGCTTAAATGTTATATTTAAATACATGTCTTCTTATAATTAAAACATATATTCGATTTATTCAAAAAAAGATGTCAAAAAAAGCATTTTTGTATGAGAGGCGTCTTGGTGATGATCCTTTATTTTCTCGGAGTTATGAAATCATGAATAAATAATATCGAAATCATTATATATTAATATTTAATATAAAATATTTAGAATTTTTTTTAGAAAAAATATTATACTCGACATATCTTTGATATCACTTTTCCGAACATGTAGGGATTGCCGATTGTCACAGTTTTGATTATTGATTTTTAGAAAAAAGTGGATTTTGAAAGCCTGATTTTGAAATATTATACATATACGTTACAATATATCTACATCTTTTTTAGGTATTAAAAAAAATATTACTCGTGAATTCATCATATCATAAGAATAAGTTATTTAATTTTAAATGAAACTGCGAAAATGTGACAATTAACCCTGTGTTTCTGGGTTGATTATCATATGTTTTAGAATTGGCAATAGCATATTTGTATGGACAACACATAAAAAATACAATTTTTATTTTAATATTAATTCTATATTTTGAGAAATAATTGTAATTATAGTATTAATATAAATAAAATAGTTATTTTAATTATAAAATAGTAATTTGTTTTTGTACCGTAGTTTCTATATGAAAAATGGAAAAACATATATATATATATCTATATGAAAGACAATATATATTTGTAAATATATTCTCTGAAAATGTGTCCTCTAAAAATATTAAAATTAATTGTTACTAACCTCATCTCATTTTGGTCAATCTACCCTACACAGCCATTTTTAATAAAAGAGATTGTATTTACAAATTTAATCAGAATAATGATTAATTAATTGTAGCAAAGATCTTCTATGATATGTCATTTTTTATGAATACAGGGATATCACGATTATAATAATCCCAAAGACTGTTGTCAGATAACAAAATAAATATACAATGCTTGTGGTGCAAACCATTACACAACCATTTACACAACAAATTGATATTATATCAGCTATCTACAATAAAAAAAAGAGATTTTTCTGTCATGTTTTGTTTTAATTATAAGCATTTTGACAATCAATCCCGTACAACAACTAGTCCTGGTCTCCTCTATAAAAATGCCTTCTTCAGTCGTGCAAATAATTATACTTTTTGGAATGAATGAATATAAGGTTTTTTTCTTAAAGTTCGTTTTTCTAAAGATTTTTCTCTTTTTTCTCTTTTCAAAACATTATTTATTTTTATCTGTGTCTTTTTTTAGCATAAAGATATGATTTTTTTAAAGAAAACTGATTATATATTCTTTTCACAAATTGTTCTTTAATATTTTTTGACATAATTTTTTCAATTATTATCAAAAGCTTTTTATGTTTTTGTTATCTCGATTCTATACATTCTGGCATTTCATTAAAAAAAGAAAAAATATTTTTCATTGAGATTTGTGATAATTACAGAGTTAGTAAAAAGTGATAGACTTGGATCCAGACATGTAAATTAAGATTATAAAATGAGACATGTAATTGAGGGTTAAAAATATCACAACTAATATTTAAAATAGTTGAAATAAGAATACTATGTTATTATTTTCGTGGCAAAAGCAACGAAGTAAGCAGTTTATGAATTAAATTATTAACTTGTTTATATTATTCAAAATTTCTTCTCTAACAGTTATCTCTTGCTCAGTTATAAATACTCAACCCGCAAATGTTTTTTATTTACGATCGATTGGTGACTATTATTTGATCAGTATAGCGATCTTATATCGCTTTAATAGCTGTGCTGTAGAAGTTGGAAACGACGTAGCGAGAAAATTGAAAAGCCCTTTTAAAAAAATTGCACGACGCTCTTTTGAGAAAAGTTTCGTATATATGTGCCTTTGGACTTTTGCGTCTAGTAATATTGTGTAATGACGTACCGGAGTTCTTTGACTTACCGTCACCTCGAGAAACATACACCGCATTCGCGAACAACTGGTACGCCAAACCTGCGTTTCATCATTTCATTTCTTATTACACTTTTATTTAAAAAAAAGCACTTTCTTTGCAATTATTAAATTGAATTTGATAATATTTATATTGTACACGTACATAAGATACGGGCACTTTTAATTTTTAGTGATATTTTCAGTAGTTTTAAATTCGAAAAAAACGGTCT